CTGCAGGTGGAAATGGGCAATTGCCTATTTGTAGAAAACCACCTGCATCCACAAGAACAATTCTTACGGGGACTCAGAACTATCTATGGAGGAGACATCTATATGGAAAACTTCAAGAACACAGCAGAAACCCAACAGCACATCAACAACTATGTTGAAAGGAAAACTCATGGAAAGATTGCCAAGCTTGTCGATGGAGTTGATCCTATTACTGAGATACTTCTGGTTAGCTATATTTACATAAAAGGTAAGACAAAGAGAGGCTTGTGATCTCATTTCCTCATTTCACATCTAAGCTTAGGGTTTGATTCCACTGACAATAAAATTTGTGTTCTGCTTTAAAACAAAAGGCACAGATTTAAGTGTACACATGAGGTACATGCACACACAGACTACTCTGCGAGGGGAGTGACTTTTTCTGTTCCCCTCCCAGGGGTCCATTTATTTTGAGGCAGATTCCAATGAATCGATTCTGTATACATGAATGGCCCTGCTCTGCATCTCTTTGTTTATTTGACAGCCACCAGGCAGCCAACCCAACCCAACCCTTCCTTCCTTCCCCTTTCATACCCCTCCACCTTCCTTCCCTTCTGCCCCATCCCTCAACCAACCTCTTCTCTTTGACCCCTCTGTATATCTGTCCTGTTTTCTATTCCTCTCAGTCACCACCTTCACTCCTTGCTCCTCTTCCCCTTTCCACTTCCTCTTTCTCTTTTCACCCCTTTCATGATTTCATGGGCCTACAGACTACCAATCCAAAGCATGCCTAGGGCCCCTCTTTTTGTGTGTGATTTTGGGGAATCCTATATATAAAATTCATGGGGATCCGTGGGGAGGGTTTCTCCAGGAATTGAAGCCCAAACGGGAGAGTGGATCTTCCTTCTCTACCACCATCACCTCCACTGGCTTGCTCTCTAGTTGGAAGGTTTGAGTTTCTAGCATCTAGGGAGAATAAAATACCCTTGCGCCCCCCCTCACTATAATTCTAAATCTGTATCTCTCTTCTGTGTGTGTGCATTTGTTTGCGTGCATAATGTATCAGATAAACACTTGCCCCTTTTCCAGTTCTCCTCCTTTCCTTTCCATTCTCCCCCATACCGTCCTGCAGTCAGACCCACCTGACAGGAGATGAAGGCAGCAGAAGCAGCAGGCAGCTGGAGGAAGAAGAGGAGGAGGAGGCACAGGGAGAATTTACAAGCCACGAAGGAGGAGGAGGAGGAGGAGGAGGATTTACAAGCCGCCACAAAGGTTTTGGACTCAGGCTAAAGTCCACGTGACTTTAGCCCGAATCCAAAAAAATATATGATCCCTCTGCCAGTTTATTCCAGCAATGGAAACAGGACCTTAGCTGCCCCCCTGCAAAAAGAGCATGACTTATTTTTAATTTCTCTACTGCCAGTTTATTCCAGCAGTGGAAACAGGACTTTAGCTGCCTCCCTGCAAAAAGAGCATGACTTTAGCTTTAATTTTTCTCATGTCTGTTTCTGGCCTCAGACACTCATATCAGTTAAGCATTTCCCTCCTTGAATCACAGGCTGCTGTCAGTAACATCTGTTTCAGGCCTGAATCTTACAGATTACCTAGTTCTGCAGGGATGTCTTCTGAGAGCAGGATGTCATAGAGCTTGTAATCAGTTTTACGAAAACGACAGGTCTGCCATGAGGACGTCTTTAGCTTTCTCTGAACCAGGCAGAGAGGCCTAAAATTGCTTTGATCTATAATGCTGTGTACATGGGTCAGTCCTCCTTCTGGGTCCAGCTGTTTTGCCAAAGATTTAGTCGCTTTATAGAATGTCACTTTTTGGACATAAGTTGAACCTAAAAGGGAGAAGCAACAGGAACGGGGGAAGGGGAAATCTCATGAATTGCAATATATTGTGCAATCTGCTACAAAATGGCTTCCTCTTTTTTTAGAATTCCATTTTTCAAAGCAATTTAAAACCAACCAACCAGAAAACAAGGGGACTTGGTTCCAAATCCAGATGATTTGAGATTCTTCTGTTTCTTCTGCACTGTGCGCTCTGTAACACCCAGCCTGATGAAAAGTTCTGCAGGACTGAAAAGGTGCCTTATTTGTGAGATTTTAGAAAATTAATAAAAAATTGTCAGTTTAAAAAAATTATTTCAGAACAAATTCTAGTTCTTTCATTGCCATGGGAAAAAGTGAAAGCGGTGGGGCATTTTATGGACAGTTCAAAACTGCATGTGAAATCTCCCTAAATACTATACCTGTATCCATTTATTGATGATATTTAGTGTCTCATAGTAGATAGTAACAGCCTAGGACCAAGGAGCCTTTGATTTGAATTCCTATTCGGCTATGGAAAATATCTCATTTCTCTTGAAAGCCTGAGGGTGCCTTACCTTCGTAGAGCTTTCGTCTTCATTACAATTTGGAAGATGTTTTGCATTTAGAACACACTGTCTTTTCAGCACTTTTAGAGCACCCATGTTCAGAATGGGCAGGGAAAGACTGGCAACAGGATTCTACCCTTTGGATGAAATCCAGTGGTAAGTTGCAACTAGAGTACGCCCATTGAATCAATCGGATATGGAGAATCAATTCCATGGGCCTATTCTAGTTGCAAGATACTTTCAGCCAGCATTTCTATCCTCAAAGTCTGTATACATACAGCAGAGCCCATTTTGTCTCCTTTAAATGGTGATTTTTTGGATTATCTCTCAAAGTTAAAACATGATAGGACCCACATGTCTGGGAGACAGTAAATGTTGACGTGATCATAAGCTGCATTATTTATGGAATTATGGAGTGGCTGAATGAGGAGCGTAGAATGTTGCTAGGGGTGGTTCTGATTGGCTGGAAGAAACTAGTGGAGTGGAGTGTGTTGGAATGTGTTTGTAGAGCAGTCTGGGTGGGGAGAGGATGATTCTGGAGGGTGGGGTCTGAGAGAGAGAGAGAGAGAGAGAGAGAGATGGAGTAGAGGGGATGCGGTCATGGAGGGAAAGACTGTGCTGAATAAAGGAATAAACAATGTGCTTTTAAGACTATGTATTTTATTAAAATCTAATTTGTTTGGTTCAAGCTGCTGTGGTGCTGAGTCCACCACCTGAGGGCTGGCTATGTGAATCGTGCTAGAAGGGGCGGGCAGGTAAGCAAGAGAGAGAGAGAGAGGTGAAGGCTTGGTGGCAGCGGAAAGAAAGGATGTAAGTGAAGATGATTAAAGAAAACACGTTTATTCCTGTAGTAATTTAAAGGGGCCATTAGCTAAATAGTTAACGCATCAAGGCACTGGTATCTGAGAGAGAGGCGTCACACCCTGACAATGGAATTTCCAAGGCAGAACCGCGGAGACAGGTCGCCCGTCCCGCCGCCGCCCGTACGGGTGCCCCGCCTACCCGCGCGTGAGCGCCCCCCACCTGCGCATGTGCACGAGCACGCCCCACCCGTGCGAGCGTCCCCACCCGCGCATGCGCGAACGGGCCCCGCCTCCCCAACAGGGAATTCAGAAAAGGTTGGGGACCACTTCTCACTCTCTGTTAAGTACTCCGGGCTTAAACTCGAATTGTAATTAACATTTTAGCAGAAGCTACCAGTTAAATTCACCAAAGCTATCAGCTCAGACTGCTCTAGCAATGGTCAGGTCAGCAGCTAAAGGGTCATGCTATTAAATGTATGCAGATATAGATTATCTGATCAACATGCCGTTCTGAGTGATTAGCAACCCTACCATTCAGGAGTCCTGAGCGGACTTGTTTCAAGAGATGTTTCCCAGTTTCAGAAGTTCCAATCAACTTTTTGGAATGGTGAACAGAACTTAATAGAAAAGTGCTTGCTTAAGAACACGAGTTACGTATTCTTCTTGCTTTCGTTTTCTTTACCAGCTTCTCTGAAGATAGACTTTCTCAATCCTTGAATCCCAAACGCACCGACTATAATTTTTGCCTCTTTCCCCACCGTTAACTTCTGCTCAGTTGACAGGTCGGCAAAAATCACTCACATTATCGAGATTCGCCAGAGGGCAGGGAGATTTTTTTTTTAAAGCGCTGAACAGCCCGCCGCCCTGTCCCGATGCATTTGGGCAACTCTTGAACGATTCTCGCCTCTTCCGTACTTACAATGCTTCAGTCTCCGGTTCTTTGGCTTGTAAGCGACGGGATCTTACACCTCGCTGTTTACCGAGCTGTCAAGGCGTCTGCTCCAAATGTGGGAATTTAAAACACACCCTCCCTGCTGCAGACACATTTCGTCTGCTTTCCGGTTGCGCCAGAACGGGAATTTCTGCAGACTCTTTCGCTTTCTCTTCCAGCAAGTGGAAATCACACTCCTCCGCTACCCCTTTGTATACTATACAGTATTTTCCAAATTCTTAAGCATCTCTTTGGTCAACCTGTAGGTCAAGGTATTATAAATAATTGTGGGTCCTCAAGTCACTTCTTCCTTGCGGTGACACTTTTCAGAGTAAAACCACCCTGTAAATTTAATGGGCGATAACGACGCTTTTATACAGTTTTCTTTCTGTGAGCTTAATCATGGAAGAGATAAAAAGAAGGGGAAGAGAACAGAAGGAGCCGCCCAGGCTAGACATTATTTAGGAATGCATGTTGTCATCTTCTGGAAACTTGGAGGAAAAAAATAAACACGTTGGAAACCAAGCAGGCAGGCAGGCAGGAAAAGAAAGAAAGAAAGAAAGAAAAGAAAAGAAAAGAAAGAAAGAAAGAAAGAAAGAAAGAAAGAAAGAAAGAAAGAAAGAAAGAAAGAAAGAAAGAAAGAAAGAAAGAAAGAAAGAAAGGCATTGCCGAGGGTGCCCAAAGGAAAAAATGGGCAGCCCTAACAGAGCCCCCTCCCAGTTCCTTTATTCTGCTGGAGTTTTTGCAACTTTGCATGGTGCCTTAGCAAGTTTGGCTTGGACCTTTCTGGGCTGCCGTGACTGTCGATCTGTCCAGCACTAACCAGCCATTCCTTCCATCCCTCTGAATTCAAAGAGAGCCTCACCTCTCTGCTTAGTGCTTTTCCCCCTCTAGAGTTTGTTGAAGTCTGTTGCTGAAAGCAGTCATGTTTATCAGTTTGATGTTTCATCTGTTGAATTGTTAGTAATGAAATCTTTCCTGCTTTTTCCTGCTAATGTCTCAGAATTAGTTATTCAGACTGTAAGTGCCAGTTGATGAGAAAAGAGGCAGACTACTCTGGGGAACTTGAAACTATTTAGCTTTGAGCCTTACTGCAATTCTGCTGTGCGGTCAGAGGAATTTAACCAAAAATCCAAAACTTGGCAACATATTCCTTCTTGCAAACTCTCTCTCATTCCTCACTCGTGGATCCCTGGACACCCTTACCTGATGGTTGCAGCTGCTGAGCTCCAGCAAATGTGGGGCTCCTGCTGAGACTGCTGGATGCAGTGGCAGCGAAGGAAGAAGTATTCTCAACTCCTCCTGTATTCTCTTAGTTTTCTCATTGCTCTTAGAATAGCCTTGCAAGTGTGGGGGGGGGCAGGGGAAGAAGAAGGAAGAAGATATGCTTCACTCTGTGTAGCTCTTTCACCACATGCTTCTTAACTGAGAACACACATGGGCACAGGGCCAGTCCCGTACGTGCTGTGCCCAAAAAAGCCTCCCTCCCAAGGATTTACCTTCTACAGTATTTTTAAACTTCTCTTCCTGGGAAACACTCATGTTACAGTGGACCCTTTAATTACAGAATTAATCCGTATTGGAACGGTGGCTGCAAGTCGAAAAGTCTGTAGGTCGAATCTCCATTGACCTACAATGCATTGAAAACCGATTAATCCCATAACTGGCAGTTTTTATTCTATTTTTATTCCATTTTGGGTTTTTTCTGGTCTGTAAGTCGATTCTCCGTCTGCAAGTCGAATCTAAATTTTGCGGCCAGAGAAGTCTGTAACTCGAAAAGTCTGTAAGTCGAGCCGTCTGTAAGTCGAGGGTCCACTGTACTTTATTTACGTTATTTATTTATTTATTTATTTTTAAAAAAGGAATGCAACTGTCCTTGCCTATCAATGCAGCACCATCTACAGGGTTATGCATGGAACTGCAAGCAGTAAGAGCTTGGTGTGGCCACTTTTCATCCAACAGACCCAAATTCCTTGGTGCAACTTCAAAGCCACTGAATGCACATTTCTCTTGCAGTGTAGTCACACCCTTACTCTGTTTCAGGATGAGTAACAAAAAGAAAACGAACAAAAACCAATGTCTTACGGCACATGTAAGACCAACCTTTTAGTTTCAGTGTGAATCTCCATGAATGCTTTGTGATCCCGAGTAGGCAAGTCTATTACCTATGGATTCCTCTCTCAGGAGTTGTCATTTCTTGACTCTGAATGCCAGGATGCAGAATTGTGGGACCATAATTGCTTTCTTCCTCCTTCTGGTGCCCTGGAACAGGAGATGAAAGAGATGGGAAACCAAGCTGAGGAAGCCTTACTGCAATTCTGCTGTGCGGTCAGAGGAATTTAACCAAAAATCCAAAACTTGGCAACATATTCCTTCTTGCAAACTCTCTCTCATTCCTCACTCGTGGATCCCTGGACACCCTTACCTGATGGTTGCAGCTGCTGAGCTCCAGCAAATGTGGGGCTCCTGCTGAGACTGCTGGATGCAGTGGCAGCGAAGGAAGAAGTATTCTCAACTCCTCCTGTATTCTCTTAGTTTTCTCATTGCTCTTAGAATAGCCTTGCAAGTGTGGGGGGGGGCAGGGGAAGAAGAAGGAAGAAGATATGCTTCACTCTGTGTAGCTCTTTCACCACATGCTTCTTAACTGAGAACACACATGGGCACAGGGCCAGTCCCGTACGTGCTGTGCCCAAAAAAGCCTCCCTCCCAAGGATTTACCTTCTACAGTATTTTTAAACTTCTCTTCCTGGGAAACACTCATGTTACAGTGGACCCTTTAATTACAGAATTAATCCGTATTGGAACGGTGGCTGCAAGTCGAAAAGTCTGTAGGTCGAATCTCCATTGACCTACAATGCATTGAAAACCGATTAATCCCATAACTGGCAGTTTTTATTCTATTTTTATTCCATTTTGGGTTTTTTCTGGTCTGTAAGTCGATTCTCCGTCTGCAAGTCGAATCTAAATTTTGCGGCCAGAGAAGTCTGTAACTCGAAAAGTCTGTAAGTCGAGCCGTCTGTAAATCGAGGATCCACTGTACTTTATTTACGTTATTTATTTATTTATTTATTTTTAAAAAAGGAATGCAACTGTCCTTGCCTATCAATGCAGCACCATCTACAGGGTTATGCATGGAACTGCAAGCAGTAAGAGCTTGGTGTGGCCACTTTTCATCCAACAGACCCAAATTCCTTGGTGCAACTTCAAAGCCACTGAATGCACATTTCTCTTGCAGTGTAGTCACACCCTTACTCTGTTTCAGGATGAGTAACAAAAAGAAAACGAACAAAAACCAATGTCTTACGGCACATGTAAGACCAACCTTTTAGTTTCAGTGTGAATCTCCATGAATGCTTTGTGATCCCGAGTAGGCAAGTCTATTACCTATGGATTCCTCTCTCAGGAGTTGTCATTTCTTGACTCTGAATGCCAGGATGCAGAATTGTGGGACCATAATTGCTTTCTTCCTCCTTCTGGTGCCCTGGAACAGGAGATGAAAGAGATGGGAAACCAAGCTGAGGACTTGCTGTCAAGTCAGACTTAAGTTGCACGAGCGACTCATCTTGGATTTGACTCTGGTTTTTTTAATGACTTGGACTTGACTCATGACTCAGAACACACTCACCCCTCCCTTTTTTCTAGGGGAAAAAGCCTGTTTTTAATAGGGACTCAGACTCGGGGCTTGGTAGCAAAGACTCAGACTTGGATTTAGGATTTGGACTCAAGGACTTGCCAACATCCTGGGAGATGAAAACCTAGATCACTTATATGGGAAAAAATCATGATCTGCATCCAATTTTAGTTCCAGTTATAAGCAGATGAACTGAGTTGAATAGGATGCTAGCCAACTCGCTATGTTCTATTTAATTTAATGGGTTTAGTCTAGCTAGGACTGAAACTAGACTTAGCCCACATCTTTCATTTCTTGAAAGGTTGAAAAACTCTGATCTGACCATTAGATGCATTTTGGCATAGGTTTCGTAAAAGATGGTGCCTTCGATTTTGTTGGTTTCCTCAAACCGGGCCTCTTCCGTACTTTCTATTGCCTCGGTGATCACATACAGGTTCCTCTGTAGCTTTTAAGATTGTTTAATGAACTCATGATCCACATTGATTTTCCTAAAGAAGAAAATCCACCTCCATTAGCTAGTATGTATCAAAAAGCAAACTGCATAAAATAGTGATTCATAGAAAAGCTAAATACTGTGCAAGTGTTTTCAGCAGTCTATTGATCTGTATATCTAAAGCCAACAAACATAGTTCAATTTTTCTAAAAGTACAACCTTATCATATTTGACATTCCCCTTATTTTTCAGTTTGTGCCATGTTAATGTGTAGCATTTTTGAGTCACATTCTCTGACACTCTTCAATTAATTTTAGGAAGAATCGGACAATAAAGCTTCTGATTTTGAAATTGCACATTAATTCTAGTTGATGCTGGAACTAGAGCCTGCTCTCATTTATGCAGGTGTTATTCCGAAGTATACTTTGCTGCTCCTGTTACTGCAGGCCAAAGGATTAAAAAACTGTAATGAAAACATTAACTGTTTTGGTATTGTTCCTTTGTTTACATATTTGTAACGTCATTAAGGCTTGTGATATTATTCCTTTGATATTTCGTTGCGGGTACAAAGTAAATGATGTACTTCTCACAAGCTTTCTTCAATGGGACTGCTTGATATATATTTCTGTCTGACTCTTTTGTGAACTACCTTGCCCATATTGGTTATTAAAAGGCTTAGAAACTTTATTCCTTTGTGTGCCAGACTCTTTGTAAATCTTTAGGTTGTTTTCTTGTAAGTCTTCAGTCTTTGGGGTTTATTCTTTGTATTCTTATACTAAGACACCTTCCATTGATTTAGTGGGCCTACTCTAGTGCCACCTACTACACTAAGCCACAGGATTTTAGGTACTGTTTTAAATGGGTCTTATACTTCAGTAGTTTCTGTAGAGGCTTTCTTACATCCGTGGTTACAATGTAAGTGATGCCTAGACTGGAAAAATCTGGTAGAAAAACAATAATGTAACTGTCCATTAATTTAATATTCATAGTACTGTATGCAAATTTGCAAACTATGTAAATAAGCCTACCTGATTTGCATAGTCTTGTACATTTATTAACAGCAGCATGAATTGTATTTCCAATACTGTAAAAAAATACTTGTTTCCAATGACAGAATAGTTATACAAGATATGGGACATGGCACATGTGGTAACACTGACAAATTTAATTAGTGTTGGGAAGTTAGAGAACAAGAAAATCATTTTATAGAAAAGTAGTTTTTATTCCTACAAAGTCCAATATGAAATGACAAAGTCCAAGATAAAATTAACCATCTGTGCCTTTGAGTATAATATGATGAACTTTGAAATACTAGAGACATAAAGCAAACAAAATTATTTTTTAAAGTACAGTGGCACAGGGAAATACCACATGTCCATATAAAAGCCAACCAAAACAAAACCCGTTGGCAAAACATACTTTTAAAAATAATTCCGTCATGCTTGGAAGAAACGAAGTCTCATATCAAACATGTTTCCAAGACATGTACGTAATGTCCAGTTTGACCAATGCCTTCACAAGAATTCCATGAGACATATGGTAAATCCATGGAGATTAAGGTCTTTGGTTCAGACGGTAGGGCAGCTCCTTGAAAATTAGAGAAATAACTTAACTGACTAGTAAGTGATTGGGAGCTGTCTTTTTCATGCCTTGCATTTAGATGCTGTTACATCTTTCTCCTTTGTTGTTTATTTTGTAATGTTTAATTGGGTGTTTTTGGTTATTTATTCTGTAATATTTATTGTGCTACTCTGAGCAGTGTTCTGACAGCAGAAGAACAGAATGTAAGTTTTCCAAAAGCAACTACACTTTGCTTTGCTGAAGATTCATATTGATGGTTCTGTAATCACAAGGATTGATGGGTTCCTACAGTTGGCATGGATACAATCCAGGCCAAACAGAAACAGAATTCTCTGATGTCACAATGAGGTTACATTCTGGAGAGGATCTGTTTCTCTGCAAACCAAGTGACAGTTAACAGTCAGGCTGAGCCTTAACATGGTCAACGTGGATCTTCAGGACAGAGAAAGGAAAAGCTTGGATAGGGGTGGTGGTGGAAGCTGAATTAATTTTTCAGGGCCAATGTGGTATAGCAGATAAAGCGTTGGACTACGGCTCAGGAGACCTGGGTTCAAATCCCTCCTTGGCCTTCAAAACGAATAGCAAAGGTAAACCACTCCTGGAAAATCTTATGTACTTCACA